AACGCTAGGCCCTAGACCATAAACCCCAAGTGCCCTAAACCCTAAATATCCTAAATACCCTAACCCCTAAACCCGAAATAGCCAATGCCTTAAATAGCCGAAACGAGTAGCCTAAACCCTCAACCCTAAGAGGTCGACAGTTTCGGTGGCTTTCCGGAGTCCGGGAGATGTGCGGTGGGGGAAGGCTGTGCCTATGGCCTCCGGCTTAGGTTTAACACCCTAACCTCAGCCGTTCAGGGCGGTGTTCTTTAGAGGTTGTTGCGATATGCCGTAAAACCTTGCACCCCAAAAGCCCTACGCCGCGAAATCCAAAAGCCTTAAACCCTACAGGCCCCGCCAAGACCACACTCTAAACCCTAAGCCCTCAGCCCTCAGCCCAAAAACCCTAAGCCCTCAGTCCGAAACCCCAAGCCCCAAGCCCCAAACCCTAAACCCGAAACCCCAAACCCTCCTCGCCTTGAGCCCGGAGTCCAAGGCAGTGGACGCCGGCCCTGCTGGAGTTTGTCGCCGAAATCACCCCAGCGATCATCACCCTTGTGCTCATGAGGCAGCCTGAAGCCTAAAGCCTAAAGTTTAGGGTTTAGGGTTTAGGGTTCAGGGTTTAGGGTTTAGGGTTTAGGAAACCCTAAACCTTAAACCCCAAACCCCAAACCGTATTCAAAAGGGCTTCGGGTTTCGGGTTTAGGGTTGAGGGGCATGACAGGGGGCTCCTGCGCAAAGAGGAAGTGCTCGTGTTACCTTGCGGGGTTGCAGGTTCAACTTCCAGAGGTCTTGGGGTAGAGGACTTCTGCCTGACGTTCCAATCTGAACCCTAAACCCTGAACCCTCTTTCCTCGGCCGTCCAACATGTGTAGGTTGCGGTTGGGTGTCCGACCTGGGCTGAACGCTCGGAACAGCTCGAAGACTTGAAGGCGAGGAGAAGAGAAGCGAGAGAACCTGAGGCCCTGAGGCTAAACCCTAAACCCTTTACACCCTAACCTGCGCTTCGCAGGCCCGAGCTTCCCCCTACCATCGCGCGCGACCCGACTCTCAGGGGGAGGATGGGCTGAGGATGGGGTCGATTTAGGGTTTAGGGTTTAGGGTTTAGGGTTCAGGGCTACGGAAGCCTGATGCAAAGAATAGTTTATGTAAGGTTATTTAGAGTCCTGGTTCAAAAGCAGGGTTGGTGGTTGGGGCTTTGTGTGGCAAGTCTACGCTGAAGCCCAAGTTGTTTCAGACACCTTTCCTCCTCCCAGATATTCCGAAACCTCTTAATGAAGGAATATACCCTAGTCTATACTAGGACCATGATTATGACTTCGGGTATATTCCAGAAATCAGGAGTCTTGCAAGATCTGGGCGACAAAAAGCAATTTAAAGGATCCCTCAGATACTAACGCTTACTCCGAGCCCCTGAATGCTAAGCATGCTGGTCAGACCCTCAGTCTCCAAGACCCTGTAGAGCCGTAGCACTTGAAGACCCCAAGAGGTTTAGGGTTTGGGGTCCCGATAACAACTACAACCTAGAACCAGCTGAAACCCCCTAAAATGCCTTGAAGGCCCCCGAAAGGTCTCTTAAAGGCACCTAGCAGCCCCAAACCCCAAACCCCAAACCCCAAACCCCAAACCCCAAACCCCAAACCCCAAACCCCAAACCCCAAACCCCAAACCCCAAACCCCAAACCCCAAACCCCCAACCCCAAACCCGAAACCCTTGACCCTAGACCCTAGGCCCTAAACCCTAAACCCTAAACCTTAAACCCTAAACCCTAGACCCTAGACCCTAGGCCCTAAACCCTAAACCCTAAACCCTAAACCCTAAACCTGAAAACGCCCTAAAGCTCCCCAAAGCCTTAGGCTTTGTGGACGCTGCCGGTCCGAGCCTAGCTCCTGCTGTGGTGAGGCCTCGGCAGTTGTAGGGGTTTAGGGTTTAGGGTTTAGGGTTTAGGGTTTAGGCTTCGGAACTTAGGTTTCGGAAGTTCAGGGATTAGGGTTCCAGGAGAAAAATGGGTTCCGGTTTGTTGGGGCGCGTGGTTTAGGGGCAAGAACTTGAGCGGTCGCCGTGGTTCAAAGGGCTCTACGAAATCTTGGCTTTCGTTTGGCTATGCAAAGCCCTTAGAACCCTAACCTAAACCCTGAAGAAGGTGGGCCCTAAACCCAAAAAACACAAGCAGCAAGACCCCTGCATCCCTCCAGCCCTTGAAGCCTTAAAACCTCAACACCCTCAACAAAAACCCTAAAATCCCTCGAGCCATTAAACCCTAAGAACCCCAACAGCCCTTTAAAGCCCTTGAAAACGTTAAGCCCAAACCCCCACAGTGCGGCCGACGTGCAGGCTGATTGAACTCGTCATCGCAGATCCGCAGATGATGCAGACCATCAAGAAGATCACTGATAGCAGCGGCTTGCTGTGCGCTTGAGGGGATGTAGGGTCTAGGGTTTGGGGTTTAGGGTGGCGCCTTGCGTCGCGTTTTGGGGGATGCAGTAGGGTTTTGGGGTCTCCCCAACCCAATACACCAGGACCCCAAACAGCCAAAGCTCTTGGCCCCAAGTCCCAAATCGCTTAAGTTCCATGTTTTTGGCCCTTTCTGCTCCATTTTTCGAAGTCCCAAAGCCTAAAGCCCAGACCAAGAGACCTTATGCCGCAGCCGGGGAGCAAAACAGCTCTCGCAAACCTGCAGCTGGACAAGAGAGACACCTGCGTCCACGGGCGGGAAGAGGGCAGTTAGGCGGTGAGGCTTGGGGTTCGGGTTGGTTTAGGGTTTCGGGTTTAGGGTTTAGGGTTTAGGGCCACCAACATACCGAACTTGGTAAGATTCGGAGGAGTCAACACGCCGGGTTTCTACACTCTCATGTCCGGCTAAAGGTCCCTGAAGTAAGAGCCCTCAGCCCATCCTCGTTGGTTTTTCATTTTTCTCCAGCTGGTTCAGACTAGTGTACATACTCATATGCATTTGTATAGACATTCATCCGCCAGCTACTTTTTTTAGACGATTACATGCGAGTATGCATCTTAGAGTTATGGGGTGCAGTTTTTCGGCCCTTTGCGGAGTGCCAGTATCCCAACACCTTGCAATAGCCCAAAATCCTAAACCGCACCCTAAGCCCTTTTTACCCTAAACCCCCAAACCCTAAACCCTAAACCTTAAACCCAAAACCCTAAACCTTAAACCCTAAACCCTAAACCCTAAACGTAAACCGCTTCGAACCGAATCCTTGCCGGCTTGTGCGAACGTGAGAGCCGAAACCCTAAACCCTAAACAACAGACTCAACCCTGCCTGCGGTTCGGCCAACTATGCGGGAGCGAAAAAAAGCCCTAAACTTTGACCCTAAACCCTAAACCCTAAACCCTAAACCCTAAACCCTAAACCCTAAACCCTAAGCCCTAAACCCCAAACCCTAAGCCCTAAGCCCCAAACCCGAAACCCTAAAGCCTAAGCCCTAAACCCTAAACACTAAGCCCGGAACCCTCAGCCTCCGAAAGGGGCGGCAGAGCCCAGGCATGCGCGATGAGGAGATGATCGGCAGGATCAAGGGTGCCACTTGCCCAGTTAGGGTTTAGGGTTTAGGATTTAGGGTTAGGGTTTAGGGTAGCCTATCAACGCCGAGCCTCAAAAGAAGCCCCAGAAACCCTCCCAAGCCCCATGAACCCTACCCTAGGACCCACACCCTGAACCCTAAACCCTGAACCCTCAACCCTAAACCCTAAACCCGAAACCCTAACACTCCCCCCCCCCCCACTTATCCCGAATCCCCAGCCCATGCAAGTCCCTAAACCCTCCGTTCGAGACACTAAACCCTAAACCCTAAACCCTAACATCGCCCCTCCCCAAACAAAGGAGCAACACCACATTTGCAATGAAGTACGGCCAGGAGCCAACTTAACCCAGGCATTCCCCACGCCTGCACTGCCAAAGACCGAAACCCTACACCCTCAGCGCCAAGCCCCAAACTCTACCCGAGCCCAGGTCATTGAGGAGAATCTCAAGGCGCTTCAGCTTTCGGCCCCAAGCCCTAAAGCAAGTGTTTACGGTTGAGGGGTTAGCGTATCCTAGACACCCTAGTACCCGACCCAAAGGGCCTGAAAAGCTATGGGAGGACCTCGACCCCGTGAACCTGACGGACGCACTATCCTTAAATTCCTAAAGACCCCCTAGGCCCTAGGCCTTAAACCCAAAAGAAGTTGCAAGCCCAAATCGGGGTTTCCGAAAGAGGTTTGCCCTCATCAGGATTATGCTATATGACATTATTTTGGGTCCCCTATTTGGGGAGGTGCCCAGATACATATGAGCGCCTGCTTACATTATGTTTGTCCAAGCCAGTACTACGGTGGACACGAGTTGTTAAACCATGAAAAGCGATATGGGCCCCACCTAAAGCGATAACATTAGTTGGCACGTTCAGACACATGTATCCGGAGTCCCATAGTATGTAAAGCGGTATGGGCCCCACGTAAAGAGACAATATGGTATTCCGCGACCTCGCACTGTGTAACGTGATTTTGTCCGTCGCTCATATATATATATATATAATACATATACATATACATATACATATACATATACATATACATATACATATACATATACATACATGTATATATAGATATGTTTATATACAGATGGCCTCAAATGTTTTGTTTTATAGGGAGACTTGGGCCCACGTGTCCTGATTGCAGCTCTTGGCTGAGCAGCGTAGACTTCCCAGCCTGTGCCCTCCTCTGTAGCGAAACTGAAGGGGATATAGGGAGGGACCCCTAGAGGAGGTTCTTTCCCTATATGAAGCAGGGTTTATATTACGGTTCTTGGTGAGTGTATATAAGGTTCCTTTTATAGATTGGTGAGTGTATGTACTGGGTGTCCTTTTGGGGACCCCCCTAGAAGGAGATGATTCCCCTACATGACCCCTAAATAAACCCTTCGAAAGTCCCTGTAGATCTAAGTAGCCCCTAATTTAAGTAACCCCTACAACTGACCTCTAAGGTCCCTGATAAGTGTCCCTCCTGTCGTCCCTTGCGAAGATGGCCCAGACGTGCGCTGGCGACCCGCAGGCCAGCGCGGCAAGCCTCGGCCCGCGCACCTACCCGCCCTACAGCGCGCGCTGGGCGAAGCGCTTCGGCGGGCCCACGGACGTGCCGTACGGCCATTTCCGGCAGGCCTCTGAGAGCTTGCACGCGGACGTGGTGGCCAAGATCGAGGTTGCCCTGGACCTCCCCCCCACAGATCTGAGGGTTGAGAGGCCACCGGTGGAGAGACTGAGGCTCCCCTCGGAGCCTTTCTTTGCGGAAGCCGAGAGCCGGAGCAAAGTAGCATCCGTCCTGCGGGCGTTTGCCTGCTGGCAGCAGGTCGGCTACCATCCTGAGCTCGCACAGCTGGCCGTGCACATCATGTGCGTGGTCGGAGAAGAGCGGGCGACCTTTCAGGCGCTGGTTTCCGTGTACCGCATGTATCAGCTGCGCGACTACTTCCAAGGCCCGAACACGGAGGAAGCCCTCTGGCGCGACGCGGCCCGGATCTGGGATGCAGCGCGCCTGAAGTTCCCCGACTTGGCCTGCGCGTTCGTCCGCTTCAACCAGATGGAGCAGTTTCCCTGGTAGTAGAGTAACCTTTAACCTTTTTTGGGGGGTAGTAGAATCCCCTTAGAATCCCAAAGGTTAGCCTTTCTTTAACTCCCCCTGCTGGACAACTAGGTTTCAGTCCACGGTGGTGTCGCTCCTGTCGACGTTGCTGACTGAGACCTACAGCCCGGCCCGGCAGGGCTTCGAGCACCACGTCCCTTTGTCATAGTGGGGTAACATTTTCTACATCTTTAAACGCAATAAGGAAAAAAGGTTTACATTTTTAAGAGTACATTAAACTCAAGAAGGAAAAAAGGTTTACATTTTTCAATACTATCCCAACCGTGAACTAGGTCCGGCTGCTGCACTTCCTCCTGCTTCCGGCCGGGCGGTACTACGCGCAGAATCCCCGAGCCCAGCTCCGCCGGCTGGTGCTGTACATCATGGCGAGGCATGAGAACGCCTTCATGCAACTTGGCTCAATTTCTGGTGGGCTCTTGGGACTTTCCCCTTTTGTTTGGGGTTTTTGTGGGAACTACAATACTTTTGTAGGAACTGCAATAATCTTGCAGGAACTACAATTAAGGAGCCTAAGAGTTAAGAAGGTGAATTTTTGGGAGGGGTCGGAGGGGTCCGGCAGTCAGCCAAGGCAATGCAGCAGTGAGAGTCAGGTCGCGGCGATGGCGAAGGAGATCGAGCACTTCGTTCAGGTGGACGACATCTTGCTCGAGACTTAGGGATTCTTAGGATCTTTTTTGTCTGTTTTTGCTTTTGGGTACTGTAATTCCTAAGGAACAGCTAAGAATGCATAGTTTTTGCCAGGGTTCCAAGTTCAGTATAGGAGATGCTGCATCGCATGCACCGCTTCCAGGGCAACAATGGCATGTGGCCCTCAGCCCTCATGGCCGGCCTGGGTGCCTTCGTGGCTTAGGGATACTTGGAAATAGTTTTCAGTTCACTTGAATGCCTAATCAGAAGCAGCTTTAAAATTGCAATTTTTTTCCAGGGTTCCAAGTTCAGTATAGGTGGCCCAAGACATCTCAAGCCCGCTGGGCTTGGGAGCGCACGTCCTCGGCACATTCGCCGGAGCCGTCGCGGGCTTCGCCTACGGGGCATGGAAGTCGGCGCAGTGGACTGCGGAAGCCGCGGTGCTCACGAGGCAAGATCTGGATTCGGATCTGGACTAGGAGGACGCGCTGAACCCTTAAAGCCTAAGCCGTGAAGCTCCTAAACCCTAACACCTAAATTCTAAACCCTGAACCCTAAACCCTAAGCCCTGAACACCCTGAACCCTAAACCCCATAGCCTCCTAGAAATTCTGGAGACCGTTTCACCCTTCAGCTCGGTTTTGCACGGGAAAAAGGGCCTACACAGGTTGCGACGAGACTTACTGCTGGTTAGCAGGGAATGGGGGAACCCTATATCAACCCTTCAAGGCATTATATGGGGCCCTGATTCCCTCATTCCCTGCTAACCAACGGTAAGGATAAGGAGATGCAGGATCTGACCGGTTTGCTTGGTGAATCACCTTCTCAGCGGTCGGGGGCTACGTAGGCGTTGCGCATCCTGAGCGGGCAGCTCTCGTGTGCTTGGGGTGTTTTGGGGGCAGGCAGGTGAAGCAGCGATGCAGCAACCCTAAACCCTAAACCCTAAGCCCTAAGCCCTAAACCCTAAACCCTAAACCCCAAGCCCTAAACCTTACAAAGTCGGTTGCAGGGAATCAACAAGATTTCCCTTTGAGTAGCACCCTAAACCCTAAATCCTAAACCCTACACCCTAAGCCTTAAACCCTAAACCCTAAACCCTAAACCCTAAACCCTAAACCCTAAACCCTAAACCCTGAACCGTAAATGCTAAATCCTAAACCCTAAACCGTAAACGCTAAACCCCTAAACCTTAAACCCGAAACCCTAAACCCAAACCCTAAACCCTAAACCCTAAACCCTAAACCCTAAACCCTAAACCTCTCAAATTCGCTTAACCCCAGACCCTCGAACTTGTAAACACCTTTGAACACCCTGAAGTCCAGGATGGCGGCATGTACCGCGCGGTTGGCCACGGCGTACTCAACGCCGCAGAGCAGTGCCCGGCGCAGAAGTACCTTAAACCCTAAACCCTAAACCCTAAACCCTAAACCTAGACCCTAGACCCTACACCCTAAACCCTAAACCCTGAACCGGGCTTGGGGATTTGTTTGCTTTTTGGGGGGAGGTTTCACGTGACGCTTGTGCGAGTTCTGGAGTTCATACTGGGCTGAAGTTTTACGTGGTGCACGTCATACTTCTAAACCCTAAGCCCTGAAGACTAAACACCCTAAACGCTAAACCATAACCTCAAGTCATAGCACTGCTAATAGGTCGTGGCAGATACTAAGAAGACTACCGCAGCCTTGCCTGCGCGTGCGCTAGTGAGAGTCGAAACATAAACCTCAAGAGCGATCCCCCAAATTAGACTCCATAACTGTATTCCGTGCACTGCGGTTTAGGGTTTAGGGGTTCAGGGTGGTTTCGGGGTTCTCACGGTCCTCACCTTCGACGTGGCAGCTAGATTTGATCCCTGCTACTCGGCCTGTACTCCTTGGTGCGGGTTTCCTGACCCGGGTCTCCTAGCCCCCCAGAGAATCCCGCAGAGAATGTTTAGGGTTTAGGGTTTTGGGTTTCGGGTTTAGGGTTTAGGGCTTGGGGTTAGGGTTTAGGGTTTAGGGGGTCCCAGAGAGACCCAAGAGTGAATCTCAGAGAATCGAGAAGAAAATCTCTGGAGTGCTTACCCCGGCCCCCGAGAGAATCCCGCAAAGTATCTCGGACCCATAGCATCGAGTCAGCGATTTTCGTCGAGACGCGCATGAGCCCAGGAGCATCGACAAGATGAAGAGCAAGGCTGCGCGAGCAGTCGGGCTGAGCTGAGCAGGAGGTTCAGGGTCTCAAGAGGTTTAAGCAGGGGTTTAGGGTTTTTAGGGTGGTTGGTGGTTGCGCCCGATCGGAGCATCGATTTGTCGCGGGGGGCGAATGGCATCACCACGCCCACCAGGTCTTTTGAAAGACCGTCAGCTGGCTGCCTCGAACTTAGGGTTTAGGGTTTAGGGTTAACTTTCCATCGAAACCGAGGCTCTAAACCCCCAATCCTGCATACTTGAAGGGGGCTGGCTACGAGGCTAGAACTGTGCCTCGACTTTTGGTTGCAACCTTGAGGGTTTAGGGACCATAGGGTTCCGGGTTTAGGGTTTGGGGCTACATACCTGAAGGTCGTGGGGCTCGCTGCGAGGTTAGAACTGAGGCTGCAACCCTAAACCCTAAACCCTCAACCCTCAACCCTAAACCCTAAACCCTGAACCCTAAACCCTAAACCCTCAACCCTAAACCCTAAACCCTGTACCCTATCCCTAAACCCTAAACCCTAAACCCTAAACCCTAAACCCTACTCATCTTCCCCCGAACCTGGCCTGACATGGGCTCTCTCCCTTGCAACTCTGCTCGTAGAACTCGTGAGCAAGGCCAACCCTAAACCCTGAACCCTAAACTATTCCAGGCGCCATAAATAAAACATAGAAAATCAGTAAATACAAAAAAAAACAAAGAGAATATTTCAATTATATATGTATGTATGTATGTATGTATGTATGTATATATATATATATATGAGAACCCACCGTAAGGGTTTTCCACGAAGGCTGCGATATAACAAGTGCCATATCTGGCGGGCCACCCCTTTAAACCAATGGGTAAGGGCAGGGTGAGGAAGTGGATTTTGCGCACTCCCCGCCGGGTCGCGCGCAGCAGAAATTCACCAAGCTTGCACCCTAAATAATCTGAACACCAAGTTAAGCCGTCTGTCCGCAAAGTTGTTCCAGTAGCTGACAAACAAGCCCTTGGCTGAAACCTTCAAGAGTTCCAGTAAACATTAAAGAGTTTCCCTATGTTTTATTCGTTTAAGTTTTAGATACAGACCCTAAAGGTTTAGGCTTAAACCTATTCCAAAGCCTTACAGTTTCCCCCCCCTTTGGAAATAAATCCCCCCCCCTTTGGAAATAAATGAATTAATTGAATTAATTGAAATAATTGAATTGATTGAATTATTTCAAGTAATTCATTTATTTCCAAAGGGGGGGGGGGGGTGGGGGGCTGGGGAGTCCCCCCCATTTGGAAGTGCATGAATGAATTGAATTAATTGAAATAATTGAATTAATTGAATTAATTGAATTAATTGAATTAATTGAATTAATTGAATTAATTGAATTACTTGAATTAATTGAATTAATCGAATTATTTGAATTAATTCAACTAATTCAATTAATTCAATTAATTGCCACTCCCCCCTTTGGAAATAAATTCCCCCCCCCTTTGGAAATACATGAATTAATTGAATTAATTGAAACAATTGAATTAATTGAATTAATTCAAGTAATTCATTTATTTCCAAAGGGGGGGGGGTGGGGGCTGGGGAATCCCCCCCATTTGGAAATACATGAATTAATTGAATTAATTGAATTAATTGAATTAACTGAAATTATCGAATTAATTCAATTAATTCAATTAATTCAATTAGTTCAATTAATTCAATTAGTTCAATTAATTCAATTAATTCACTTAATTCACTTAATTCACTTAATTCAATTAATTCAATTAATTCAATTAATTCAATTAATTAAATTCAATTATTTCAATTAAGTCAATTAATTCAATTAATTCAATTAATTCAATTAATTCAATTAATTCAATTAATTCAATTAATTCAATTAATTCAATTAATTCAATTAATTCAATTAATTCAATTAATTCAATTAATTCAATTAATTCAATTATTTGCAACCCCCCTTTGGAAATAAATGAATTAATTGAATTAATTCAATTAATTCATTTAATTGAATTAATTGAATTTAATTCCTCATCCCAAAATTAAATTCATTAAAGTCATTAAATTCCAGGGGGAAAGTGGAAACTAAGGAATTTAATGAATTAAATGCTATCTGTGCAACCCTACAGGACCTAAAATAGGGTCTATTTGGAAGATGGCTCTTGTGAATAAGTATACGTTTTGGGGCCTGCTTTCCTCTTGTAAATACGACTCCCAGCTTCCAAATAGACCCTAGTTAAGCTGCACACGGGGGGGGGGGGGGCCGGGGATCACTGGACCATATATGTATATATATATATATATTCTGCACAAAGGCAACTAAAGCGAGGCTGCTCTGCGTGAACTTCGAGGCCCACCCAGCCATCGCTTGAAATCGCCCCCCAGAAGCGCCGCACTTTTTCCGTGGGATGCGTGCGCGCGCCTGGAAGGAAAAGAGCTCCGCAGACCCCCCCCCCCTGGCAGAATTTTTTAAAATGTTGTTTCCTTTCCAGGCCTTAGAAGGGAACAGTGAAGCATTGAGTTTTTTTCCCTAAACCCTAAACCCTAAACCCTAAACCCTAAACCCTAAACCCTAAAGCTAATCTCAGGGCCTCAAGGGGAGTAGAGGATTGGCATTGCTCCAGGGAAGCCGAGACAGGGAGTTCAGGGGTTGCTGTGAGTTTAAGGCTTAGGGTTTAGGGTTTGGGGTTGAGGGCTTAGGATGTGGGGTTTGGGTTTAGGGTTGATGGTTGAGGGTTGAGGGTTTGGGGTTGAGGGCTTAGGATGTGGGGTTTGGGTTCGGGTTGATGGTTGAGGGTTGAGGGTTTGGGGTTTGGGGTTTTGGGCTGTGGGTTTTGGGGTGTTGGGGTGCTAGGGTTTGGGGCTCAGGTTTTTCGGAGTCCAGGTCCAGGGCTTTAGGGTTCAGGGTTGGGGGGCTTAGGGGGTTGGTTTAGAGAAAAATCGTAAACCCTAAGCCCTAAACCCTAAACCCTAAACCCTAAACCCTGAACCCTAAACCCTAAACCCTAAACCCCAAACCCTAAACCCTCAACCCGAACCCCAAAGCCTCCACCCTCGCGGGCTCGAGCTTCCCTGCCGGCCCAGCCCGAAAGCGCCTGCGAGGACTCCTGCGGAATCTTTGGGGTCTTTGGGGCCTCTAGCTGGGTTTTGGAGTAATTACTCTACTTTGATGCTGTTTTTGGTTCTGGGTTCCTTTTCTAGCTACTTCTACCTAAGAAGTACATAATGTTGTCTGCTGATTAGTGTGGCCCCCCCCCCCCCCCCCCCCAACAAATGGATCCCGCGCTTTAGTGTGGGGGGGGGGGGCAATTTGGGGGGGGGGGGTCTGGCTTTATATGATTTTAAAAGGGATGAGTTTATATGATTTTAAAAGGGATCCATATGATTTTAAAAGGGATGAGCTCGTATGAATTTTAAAGGGATCCATATGATTTTAAAAGGGGTGAGACTGTATGAAATTAAACGGGATCCTTAAGATTTGAAGAGGGATGGGTTTATATGAATTCAAAAGGGATTATATGATGTTAAAAGGGATCCACCTGATTTTGAAAGGGATGAGTTTATATGAATTTAAAGGGGATCCATCTGTCCCAACCAAGCCAGCCCGCAGAAAAAAATATAATTCCGGGGGAGCAAACTTTTATATTATACGGCAGTCGGGCAGCTGCTGGACTACCCCATTTGAAATTTGATTGCTTGGCCTCGGTACAAAAGCATTGTATAAGGAACTCTTAGCTTTGGGGCTGGCCTGGAGACTGAAGATTTCAGGGCCCGACAACCTCAGGCCTCAAGGTTTAGGAGGCCTCAGCCCTTAGGCCTCTGGATCCAAACCCAACCAGCCCGCAAAAAAAAAGATAATTCCGGGGGAGCAAACTTTTTATATTATACGGCAGTCGGGCAGCTGCTGGACTACCCCCTTTGAAATTTGATTGCCCGGCCTCGGCACAAAAGAATTTAATAAGGAAATCTTAGTTTTGGGGCTGGCCAGGAGACTGAAGATTTCAGGGCCTGACAACCTCAGGCTCAGTTCAGAAGCGATTTCCGGACGACAACACCATTCGACAGCCTCGCCGAAATTTTGCATCGCCCGGCTTTTTTTTAACAATTCCGGGGGTCCTCCTCAAATAGATCCACCTGAATAATTTTTGGATTTTTTTCCACAATTCCAGGGGAGCACACTAATCAGGATACAACATTACTTTCTTTTTCTTCTAAGGCTTAGGCTTCGACGAGCGCGCTTGGACCAGTTCATGTCCGCCACTCCTTGAGTTTTCAGGGCTTGGTGTTTTTTCCAGGAATCCCTGAACCCTAAACCCTAAACCCTAAACCCTAAACCCTAAACCCTAAACCCTAAACCCTAAACCTCAAACCCTAAACCCCAAACCCTAAGCCCCTGCTTTGAACCAGGCCTCTCTCAAGGGCCTCCAAGGCTGCGCAACCTAAATTTAGGTTTTAGGGTTTAGGGTTTAGGGTTTAGGGTCCCCAAACCCTAAACCCATTTTGAGTGAAGACCCCAAGGAGTGCTTTGGTTTTATTTCCGTAAGCCTTGCGCGTCCCGCTCGCTGGGCGCACCTTGTGTCTTAGGGGTTTCCAATGTCTCAAGCCCGAAGCTACAAGCCCTTTAGGGCCTCTTTGCTTAAGGGATCCAGGCTCGCACCCTTCAGGTGGTACCCCTAAAGGTTACCCTTAGCATACTTCGCCCTTTGTTTTTTTTTTTTTTTTGGGGGGGGGGAAACTTGCCCCTTTTTATAATCTCCTGTGTTGGGATGTTGCCCCCTTATACAAGCCTTATCAAAAGTCCTTGTTAAGGACTCTTAGTATAAGGGGGAACATCACAAGTCCTGTGGCTGAAGATGGCCAAGAAGACAAGGTTTAGGGTTTAGGGTTTAGGGTTTAGGGTTTTAGGCTACCAAAAAGCACAGTCGAAGCCCCTCAAGTTCGCAGCCCGCTCTCGCCAGGACGCTTGGGGGGAATGGAGTGGCCCCTGGTCGAAAGCTGGGCTACCTTTCAGGGAGGGACGTGCATGAAATTGCCATAGTAGCAAAACAACAGC